GCCCTCCTGGCAGGGAGTTGTGCAGAGCCAGAAATTCCCCCTGAGCCTCCTTTGCTCCGGGCTGAGCCCCTGCCCAGCTCCCTCAGGACCCTCCAAACCCTGCCCAGCTCCCTCAGGACCCTCCAAACCCTTCCCAGCTCCCTCAGGACTCTCCAAATCGTTTCCAGATTTCTCCAAACCGTTCCCAGCTCCCTCAGGCCTCTCCAAACCCTTCCCAGCTCCCTCAGACCCTTCCCATCTCCCTCAGGATTTTTCCCAAACTGTTTCCTGGTTCCCTCAGCTCTTCCAAACCTTTCCCATCTCCCTCAGGACTCTCCAAACCCTTTCCAGATTTCTCTAGACCCTTCCCAGTTCCCTCATGACTCTCCAAACCTTCCCCTGGTTCCTTCAGCTCTTCCAAACTTTCCCATTTCCCTCAGGACTCCTCAAACCCTTTCCAGATTTTTCCAAATCCTTCCCAGCTCCCTGGGGATTCTCCAAACTTTTCCTTGGTTCCCTCAGCTCTTCCAAACCTTCCCATTTCCCTCAGGACTCCTCAAACCCTTTCCAGATTTCTCCAAATCCTTCCCAGCTCCCTCAGGACTCTCCAAACCTTCCCCTGGTTCGTTCAGCTCTTCCAAACCTTCCCATTTCCCTCAGGACTCTCCAAACACTTTCCAGATTTCTCTAGACCCTTCCCAGTTCCCTCAGGACTCTCCAAACCTTCCCATTTCCCTCAGGATTCCTCAAACCCTTTCCAGATTTCTCCAAATCCTTCCCAGCTCCCTCAGGATTCTCCAAACTCTTCCTTGGTTCCCTCAGCTCCTCTAAACCTTCCGCAGCACCCTCAGGATTCTCCAAATCCTCTCCAGATTTCTCCAAACCCTTCCCAGCTCCCTCAGGATTTTCCAAATCCTTTCCAGATTTCTCCAAACCCTTCCCAGCTCCCTCAGGATTCTCCAAACCCCTCCCACCTTCCTGAAGATTTTTCCAAACCCTTTCCAGATTTCTCCAAACCCTTCCCAGCTCCCTCAAGATTCTTCCAAACTTTTCCCCATCTCCCTCAGGATTCTCTCCAAACCTTTCCCTGGTTCCTTTCAGGACTCTCCAAACCCTTCCCTGCTCCCTCAGGATTCTCCAAACCTTCTCCAAACCCTTCCCAGCTCCCTCAGGATTTTTCCAAAATTGTTTCCTGGTTCCCTCAGCTCTTCCAAACCCTTCCCATCTCCCTCAGGATTCCCCCACCCCCTCATTAATTCCTAATTAACACTCAGCATTCCCAATCTCTTTGACACCATTCCTTAAAAAAACCCCATGGACACAGCACAGTGAGCAGCCTACCTTTAATCCCTTAAATAGAATCATACAAATATAAAATGGAAGAATAAAATATTTACAGAAAAAACAAAAACAAATCTCAAAACAAATTGAAAAAAAAAAAGAAAAACCCCACGGGGATTTCACTCAATCCCATCTCCAAAGGGCTGGAAAAGAGGGAAGCAGCCAAGGGGGAACATTCCAGGGTGCTTTTTCTTTTTTCCCCTCCCAAAATGATCCCAGCTGGATGTGAGAAGTTCATTGCAGGGAGAAATCCTCAGAACCCAGAGGCACTTGAAGCAATGTTCCTTTTCCCAAATCCCAGGAGGAATTTTTGCTTTCCCCCATGGAAAAAATCCCACAAGCCAGGCTCACCCTGGCAGGCTTTGGTCCAAAATCCTGCTCAGATTTTGCCTCTTTTTCCCTGAATTCCCCCCAAATGCGAGTCCATCCGTGGCTCCCAGAGTTGACACAGTAACTCCAGGGATTTTTTGGGGATTTTCTGTGCAGGAGGGAGCTCTGGAGATGGGATCTGTGGCCCCTCAGGGCGTTCCAAGTGCTCTGTCCTGTCCCGTGGGGGGACAAACTCAGCCCGGAATTTTGGGATAACAGAGAGCAGACTCTGCCTAATCCTAAACAATCCAACTGTGCTTCCAGCTGGGGCAGGGTCTCCTCCACAGATCCAACAACATTTACAGGATTTTTGTGGGAGGTGAGGAGAAAATGTTGCTTTTTCAGGGTGGTTTTTTTTTTTTTGGTGTCGCGTCTTTTTTCCTTTTTTTTTTCCAACAAAACCTCCCCTCTCAGCTGTCAATCATCTCAGACAGTTCCAGCAGCAGAGCATCCTCATCCTTGCCTGGATCCAGGTCGATTTCTGCCTCCAGTTTTCCCCCAGAGATTTCCCAGATGAGTTTCTCAAAGTCGTCCTCCACCGACAGCGCGGC